GCCGAAATTGGAAGTTGATGATAAAACGTCATCAATTTCTTTGATTAATCCTGTTAAGCTATCGATTACAATAAATTGTTTTCGGACTTATAGCCATGAACAGAAATGAATTGTGTATAAGGACATGTCTCGAAGATACAATTTGAACCATAAAGCCAGAGGTTATGTTTTATTTTGGCATGATTAAATATAATACATGTATTTGAGACATCAATCTGGATTTTGACCTTTTCTAGTTATGGAAAATAGAAATAGACAGAAGGGAGGGTGTTGAAAAGAGAACTGTTTTTATGGATAGTACATATTCGTTTGTAAAGTCAGTACACCTGATTTAGTTAGTAAAGGTTAGGTTTACGCATCTGATAATATTAATAGTCAGTAAAAGTCTAAACATCGTCAGTATGTATTATTTTTGGTAAAATAATCAACTCCGAAAGTATATATTTCAAAATTACATAAAATTAATTTAAGCTGTTGAAAACAATATTTTTTTGAGAGAAACTTTTTAAAATTTAACGGCGTCAATAAATATAAATGAAATAACGATTACAAAAAAATAAAAAGTGTGAATGGACCACCCTATTATGTAAATAATAAATATCATTCTACATGGTTTGTGGTGAAAACCAATCCGTTTCGCTAATGCCGCTTTGTACAAGTACGAATGTTGATAAGAGCTTTATGATAAAGTAAATAAATAAAGTAAGTACACAAAGCTAATAATTGGATAAATGCGCGAAAATATTTGGAAAATCGCCGTTAAAGGTATGCAAATTTATTTGAAAATTGAAAATAAATTAAAATTGAAATTAACATTGCATATATATATATAACAACATATGTACATGTGTGTGTCGAGTGTTAGAAATAATGATTGTGTCAGGGTAGGTCTGGTTGCTGGACCAGACCTGGGTGCTCGTAACTGATCTGATATGGGTGCGCTTGCTGGTGTTAGTAGTGATGCAAAATGCAACTTTTTTCTAATTTTTTTTTTTAATTTGTTCATTTCTCTTTTGTTAGTTGGTGCGTAACAGTGCCACTACTGCGTTGTAAATATAAAATTTTTGTTATTTCAGTCATGGATTTATTTTACTTGTTTGATTGCTTTGTGAATTTTATAGCGCAGTTTTGCTTTGGTAATACCATTTTATGTTTCTTTATACATTTTGGAATTTCGTTTTATGTTACTTTTTTGGTGCCATATTTATTGCTTGAAAAAGAGGCTTGGTGCGTTGCATTCCGCGTGCCGTCGTTGTCATGCGTTTCATGCTGCGAAGCTCCACAAAATTACCGTTACAGTTGCGTGCCATTTGATTTTCCATCTTTTTGGTTTTTTCCTTTGTATTTACGTACTTACTTGCGTACTTTGTGCTTGTCAATTGTTGTTTTTTTAGTTGACTTTTGTGGTTGCCACTGAATACATTTTATGTGCCCAACACATTGTCAGTAAGTATATTATGTATTTATGTACATTGTTACACATAACCACCCCACCCCATTTACCCCTTCTACGCGTGCGTTCGTTGTGCCCATACAGTGCTTTATTTGTGTTGTGTTGTACTTTGATACGAATTGCAATAAATTAAAAAATGAAATTTAGTACGAGTATTATCGGAAAATAGTGAATTGTCTTTGAACAATGTATCTCTGCTCAAAGTTGGTTGAAATGACGGTGAAAAAAAAAGAAGCTTCATAAATTTTAATCTCATATAAAAAGGAAGAAGTTTTGTGAACTTATTTTAAACTATTTTTAATGCATTGATACATTTAATAAACACACATATATATTTATACTCTGAACAGGGTATATTAAGTTTGTAACGAAGTTTGTAACACCCAGAAGGAAGGGTCGGAGACCCTATAAAGTATATATATAAATTACCAGTATGTCGAGCTGAGTCGATTTAGCCATGTCCGTCTGTCTGTTCGTTTGTCTGTCCGTCTGCCTGTCTATATATGCGAACTAGTCCCTCAGTGTTTAAGATATCGTTTTGAAATTTTGCAAACGTCATTTTCTCTTCAAGAAGCTGCTCATTTGTCGGAACTGCCGATATCGGACCCCTATATGATATAGCTCCCATACAAACTAAAAGATCGGAATCACGTTCTTGTATGGAAAAATTTCACATTTGACGAAATATCTTCATGAAATTGGGCATGAGTTATTGTTTATAGAAATAATGTGATATCAGAAGAAATTGTTCAGATCGGCTCACCATAGCATATAGCTGCCATACAAACTGAACGATCGGAATCAAGTTCTTGTATGGGAAACTTCCTCATTTGACGTGTTATATTCACGAAATATGGATTACTGCTTAAGATAACAATATAATCTCCCAAAAATTGTTCAGAACAGATTACTATAGCATTTATGCTTCCACACAAACTGAACACATAGCTACTAAAAGAAATGCACCTTTACATATAATAAAACAAAATTTTCTGATGAAACATCTTTTAACCAATGATGAAGTATTAGCATCTAACAAGCATAATAATAATAAATAAAATAATAAAATAAATATAATAATATTTCAATATGGTTGTCACATTTTTGGAATACATCGAAAGTAATGGATTTGAAAGAGACCTGTTCAAGAGATACATATCTCAAATCTGGCGGACTAATTCGTGTATATATATGCAGACAGAGGGGCGTGCGATTCAGCTCCTCATGCTTAAAGGGTCCCCGAAGTTCATTCTGGGTGTTGCAAACTTCGTGGCAAATAAAGAATATATTGGGTAGTCGAAATAGTATTTTCGTATTTTCGTATTTTGTCAATAGATGTCGTTGCAGTATATCACCAGTGCTACCAATTACATTTTGTCATAACAACAGATTTTAAGCTTCATTTAACACACAGAAATTAAATTTAGTGAAGTTGAAAAATATTTCAAGCTGTTCAAATATGAGTGAAAATAATATTGAAATTCGCTATATTTTGAAATTTTTTTTTTATAAAAAATGGAAGAATGCCACGTAATGCAGCAATGAAATTTATGAAGTTTATTTATTTCTTTCTTATTATAAATAAAAATAAATAAATTGAAGTTTGATTGGAATTTGTTTAGAAATACGAAAATACTTTTTCGACTACCCAATATTATAAGGGTATAACAAAGGTATGTCCGATTTGAACATTATGTTCGGAGGCTGTAGAATGGTGTTAAACAATAATCCGTGCCAAATTTCGTGAAGACTATTTGCGATATAATAACGTTTTTATACAAGGACTTAGTTTTGCCCAATATATCTTACAGTGGTCCGCTATCGACGGCCACATTTCTGATTACTAACTTAACAGCTGAAGCGATTGTTCGCATATAAACAGACAGATAAGAGCACAAGCGCACATTTTAAGATCGAATATAACATGCCATATAGTGTCTATTGCATTTCCTTTGGTTTATCATAAACCTTGTGACAAACTTAATGCACCCTATTTAGGGTATAAAAATCGACATTATTGCCATCACTTGATTTTCCATTTACCGAAATTGGTACTAATTGAATTTGAAATATGAGTGTCATCCAAAAAAATTGATTTTGTTGCCAACTTTTTTAAAAGTCACACGAAAATGACGTAAAGCTTACCTTTACCCATTTTTTAAGCTAATGAAAGGGGGAGAAAGGTCAGCAATCTCTCGATCTCCTACTTGAGCTTGACATCCCTGTTACTTTCAATGAGTAACCTCTCGGTTTGAAAAACATCAAATGCATAATTTGAAAAATACTTCTTTTTTTTCGATTGAACGTAGCCTATAACAAAGTAATATTGTTTTAATAACGTCCACCTTTAATCTCTTCCATACCCTAATTAAACGAAATATTGTCATCGTTTAATTAATTTATGTTAATATGTCAGTATTACTGATTCTGCTGCCTCAAATAAGGAAAAAAAAGGAAGATTTTAAAGCATTCTTTATAGAGTTACTACAAAAAAACGATTTATTCTGTAAACGTTACCATATATGATACATGGGTGGAGAACAAAGTAAAGGGGATATCTTTTCAAATCAAATTGCTAAAAACCAGTTCAGATATGTCTAGTAAAATAATATTTTTACTTCAGTATGTGATAGAGTCTCTCGGCGTAGAACGTAACCTGTGAGAAAGAGGAGTAATCGATGACAAGAACAAATAAATTTCTAACTCAGATGGATGCAGTTTACACGTTCAGTATTTTTGGTGTCATGGTTTGTATTCATTTCTTCTGAAAAATTTGTTGTGAACCATCTTGTGTATCGGCGACACTAGCCTATAGAGTTATATCTGAATGGCAGGCGATTACTTCTATGAAGGGAGCATCACACAACCAGCTGAAGTTGATGGAAGTCTATTTTACGGAATATTGCAAACCTTCACTTACGTCTAAGCCTAACTTATTATTATTATTATAATGTAATTGTCGTAATATTACTTCCTGAGACTTAATGTTATTCGTAGTTATAGTCTATGCACGGAGCAGAACACACAGCTGCGATGGTTGAACTTAAGTCGGCCGTAAATAATTTTTCGAAAACAGGAAAATTTAGAATTCAAGAGTTTAATACAAGTAATAACTCTCTTTATTTTAATATTAAGAACTTCCAATTTATTAATTTACATAAAACTAAATTTCGAATTTTTTGATTTTTTTCAAAATTTAACATCCAATTTTATTCTTCATTTCTTCGCATAAAAGTACAGCACAAACACAAATAATTTTCAATAAAATGTTCTTCAAATATTTTTGTGCCAAACTACTTATTATATTCAGTGCTGCAACATATATGTAGATATGCATGTATGTAGTAGTTAGTAAGTACTTGCAGTGCCAGATACGATATATTATTGTTGTAAAGTGCATGACTAGCTTGAAGCAAGTGCTTGATTTGATTTAATTTTCTAATTTTCTTTGTTTTTTTTTGTAAATTTTCGTGATTTGCATACAATTGGTGTTGCGCTCTTGCATTTGGTGCGATTAACAGTATTTTGAACACATTCACAAATTTACCCGAAACGGACAGTACCGCCGTATACTCAACGGATCCCGCGCGATTGCTGACACGACACGTATAATTGCCGTTATGACGTGACGTCACATTGTGTATGGAAATAATGCTGGAAAACGGTGTGTACTCATTAATGGTGAGCGAGCTATCCATTGGACTATAACTCTTCCCACCGGCGCCACCACCAAGCGATCCACCGCCATTTTGTAAGCGCCCACCCGCTAAATCGTTGGGTAAATTAGCGACGGGTAGTTGTTGTTGTGCGGTATTACCCAAAATCGGTGTGCCATCCTTTAGCCAAGTGATATTGAACGGCTGATCACCCTGACTACTTGAACACATTAGCTGCGTGCGCATACCCTCGGTGATTTCCTCTTCGAAGTTGAACGGCGAAATGCGTGGAGGAACTAAATGTGTAGATTTAAATTGAATACTTTTTATAAATATAGGTAAGTTTTGAAATTAAATAGATAGCTGAAATGTGTAGAGAGATTATAGCGAGGAGTGGCAACTGAAAACATGTATCGTAAAAACATGGTTCCTGAAATTTTCTTTAAATAACAAATATTTATATGTATTGTATATGGACAAAATTGTTGTATACTCCTTGTAAAAAAAATAATTGGAATATTTTTCAAATATAAAAAAAATTTAAATACTATTTTTATATGTGTGAATATTTTCACAAAATAATATTTCATTAAAAAAAATAAATAAACCTCAATATTTTAAGCTATTAATATGTTATTAAGTAGAACATATAAATACACTTTTCTTTCTTTAATGGTAAATTGAGTCACATTCCAACCCATCTTACTCACACATTGTACCATCAAACTGCAGTTAATTACTCACATACATTCATGGCGAACGCGATAATATTTATATTTACATTTAGTAATTTGGCACATTTCAATTTTCAAACTTTACGGGGCCAAAAGCGCTAATATTCCAGGCAGCGGCATGTGTTGAAGCATAAGCGCATAGCATCATATGTATGCATGTTTAAATATCTGCCTTCAATAGTGGATATTTTACTTATACTTGTATGTATGTGCTAATAAGCCGGCGGGCATTCACCGACGATATTAAACGTCTAATTAATTTTACTAATATATTGATAGGTGCATTACTACACACATACTTGGATTGAAATATATTGGCGCATACTATGGAAAAATATAGCGAGAGATATGTTGTGTTTGTTTTGCTTACTATATTGACCCCAAAGATGGGTAGGTCACGGAATGTGATTAAAGAAATATAATATTTAAAATGAAGATTCTAAGGGAGAATAGGTACGGTTTTCAAAAAGCTAAAAAAGTTATACATTCTCACTTACATTGTTTTAATAATGGAATGTATGTAAATATTTTGAATAAGTTAAAAGTATGCAAGATAATCATAGAGATAATAGCGAAACAGCTTAAAAAGTTGACTCAGAAACTGTAAGTCTGCATTAAAATTTATAATATCTTTTAAAGTCAATCCGTGCTATGGCTAAAAGCGATTTTAGGGGAGGCATGAAGTACAGCTCTGTGCCACACTGTAAGCCAAGCTAGTTTTCATACCGAAAGTAGCAGAAACAACCCAGGCTACTCAAAAGAGTTTGGGCCTGTAAGCTTAACTTCCTTTCTGCTGAAAATGCTAGAAAAATAATCTTAAATATGCAAATCAGGGCCGTAGCGCCTCCTAAAAGCTTATTCAAGGCGCAGCACGCATATATGAAGTGCAGATCAGTAGAGAATGCACTCCATACACTGGTATTTAATATCGAAGGTGTTCTTGAATATAAGGAACATGATCACTGAGCATTCCTGGACATTTCTTGAGCATTCAACAACGTCTCTACGAAATATATTCTGAATAGGCTGGATCTGAAGCTATTTGAACTCTAGAAGGACAAAAGCAGAATAAACGCCGATAGAATAGCAAATGAAGTTTGTAGAGGTACTCCCCATGACCCAACTCGGATGCATTGCAATCTTAATAACGGTTAGCAGTAGGGTCAAACCACGTGAAGTGGGCCATGAAAAATTCGAAAAATCTCCGATTTTGAAAATTAGCAGTTCATTTGAAAGAGGACCAGATGCATACCACGAGATATCCCAGCCGCAGAAAATGGATCTCCTTGTGTTCACAAGAAATCAAGTACCTCGGTGTAGTCTAGGACAGCAAACTGCTGTGGAAGCACAACGTGGGAGAAAGCCAGGAATTTTTTATATGCTTGTAGGCAGATACTCGGCACAACCTGAGGGCTCTCTCCCTCTCTCATGCACTGGTGCTACACAGCTTTTGTAAGACCAATTCCGCTCTACGGTACAGTATTATGGCGGAAAGGCAATGTAAAGGGTTCAGAGGATCGATACGCTGTGCATAACGGGAGTTTTAACAACTCTAACGGCGGCTCTTGAACTATTAATAAACCTGCTGAAAGCTTCGCAGAAAAATCGCGGGACGAATACTGGCTATAGGACGATTGACATACGAAACCTTCGGGCATAGTTCGGTGGGTAATGGCGTTTGGACAAACACCGACTTTATGACCACACTTTTCAACTGGGACAGAAGGTTAAATGTAATAAAGGAAATATGCCTGATGTAAAGGTATGGTAGCTACGCGCAACTCTCTAAACATCTATACGGATGGCTCACAATTTGACGAAGGAGTTGGTGCGGTAATTTACTCTCCAGTGTATGCCTAACACCATTTAAATAGCCGGACCACTACATTATACTCCAAGCTGTGGAGGAGTGGGGTAATAGATCAACTTTTTCCATAAAAAAAGCTTTAATTTACTTATGCATTGACATTGAAGATAGCAGTTATACCACCCTATGATGGTATATTCTCGAGTTGCATTCAACTTAATGCTTTGTTGGTGCTTTTATATGAAAATTATTTGACAAAAGAGTAGCACTCAAGGGTTAGAGATATAAGGAATCGAAGACATCTTTTTTCGTAGATATTTACTCAATATCCCTGGGCGACCCTAATTTCTGATTCACATACAGCTTTTGCTTCACTTTGCTTCAGAAATTTGATTTGAAAGAAAAGTTCGATGTATGCTTTTACTATGGATTCGTTCACATGGAGGGAATGCAAGGCAAAGATGCCATTTTTATTAGAGAGAAGTACAGAAAGCAAAGCGTTTATTCTGACGTACCTTTGGCTCTCTTCGTTATATTGTTAAAGTATAAATTGTCAATCAAAGCGAGAAAAGTTGTATGTAAATCGGTCATAACGATTATAAAACGTCATTAACTTGTGAGAACAAACCTTTCTGGAGTGAAATTTCGTTATGAGAGAACTGGGCTTGTGAAAGGAGAGTCAATTTTAATATATGTCTTATATTGTCCCAAGTAAAATTCGGTCACGAAAAGAAAGTCATATAAAATATTACAAATTGCGAATCAACCTAAAGAGACTAAAGAGTGCTTACCAATGAATTTTTTTTTTTTTTTAAGTAATGAACAGGCACAGGTTGTTATAATATTGGCATCAAAATGATTTTATTACTCAATAAATCTGAAGGAAAATTTTGAGACTGATGTTCTAAGAGCTCTAAGAGATATTTGAGTTGACATTTGAATTAAAACATTTTCATCACTTATTGCTATTTTTGTTATTTTAGTAAATGTTGACGTTTTAACAACTACATCGCTTGACTTGAACATAATCTAGCGTGATAGGAGACTTTTTGTTTTATTTTTTTTTTTTAATTTTTAAAATTTAGAAAGTTAACGAATTTTTGCCATATGGAGTATAAGAAATTTTAAAATAAAAATTGTTAGAAAACATAGGTTAGTTTCTGTATCGGGTTCGTGGTAGACTCATTAGGAAGAACAACTTATCTTGGGTAAATTCTTTTTCGTGTATAGAGGAATTGTTCGGCAGTAAGTATATTACTCCTGTGTCAAACAAATGGCAATCAATATGTTAACATTTGCGAATGTTGCAATCTGAATATCGACTAATTGAAATATGTTGATCTAGGTATGGCTGCTCTAGTACCAAATATAAATATCTATACTTTTACGAGCTCTGCGCTTATGCCTGATATTTTATTTTCGTTTGTAACGTTCGCTCTGAATGTACGAGTATTTGTGCCAAAAAATCGATTATATAGTTATATACGTTAGTCTACAACTGAAATTAAGAACAAAAGCGACAGAACCTAACGAATTTACCAAAAATAATGTGTGCAACAACTGTTGGCAAATAAAATTCTTGTGCGCCTTTGTGTGTATGTGTAGAGAAAAATAACCATTTTATATTGACACTTAACATATATTCGCATCAATTAGATGTGCGCCAATAAATCCATTAACAAGCAACAACAATAAATGAGATACATACATATATGATTGTGCTGATAAAATTTTACATAAATAAATGTGTATACTTATATAACTAAGGGTTTATATGTGTGCGTTCATGTGCTTTTGTGTGCAATAACATGCATTTGGCGGCGGAGTTTGCCAAAAATTCGCCAAAAAAAAGCCAACAACAACAAGAAAAATTATTTGTAATAAAATTGTAAAGTAAACATGCTGAAACACACATGCAAATGCAACCATGCAAAGCGAAATAAAAATGAAAAACTCATGCATATATTATATTTCAAGCATGTAATATACAACAACTACAATGATAAAGATAATAATATTTATAATGCTGACAACAACAACACGCATAATATTAATACCATTGACTCTTAGCTGTGCAGAGTGCGATACAGTGGCGGCATCGTTTTGTACGCGACACGTATAGGTGCCGCTCTGTGCTCGCGTCACACTTGTGATGCTGAGGGCGCTGGTGAAATCATCATTTTGGCGAATTGTCACTTGGCCAGCGCCACCATCTACACCACCGCTACTACCATCCGCATTCGTTGACATTGATGCTGCCGCAGCCGCTGAGGCGGCTGAATCGTCGTGATTTGTATGACCTGATGGACCTGATGCAGCAACGCCACCGGTACCGCTATGATGCCCACCGCTAACACCGCCGCCGCCGCCAACGTTGCCAACACCACCAGCACCACCACCATCGCGCAATACATAATTCACACCGACACCAACACCAACGCCGCCCATAAGTAGGCGATTATGCCCAGAGGCGGCCGCTGCTGAGGTTGTGATGGATGTGGCCATTTGCTGCAGCGGCTGTCCGTCCTTAAGCCAGGTGAATGTGAGCGGTAGGTCACCGGTGCCAATGACACATTGTATGCTCGTGCGGTCGCCGACATTCAGATCGCGTGCGAATGAGAATGGTGTAATCTTGGGTGGAACTTTTGGTATCGTAAGTGATTAGTCGTACGCATGAAATTGAACGCGTTAGCTTTATTTACTTAGTGTTACGTTTAAGTAAGTTAAATAAAATGTCTATTTATTGTAGATTCTA